TTTGTCCTCACTCTACAGCCAGTGTAAACCAACCAAACGTTCTTGCGAAATAACTATGAGCATGGCACAGACTTGCTAGTCCGCAGCTACCTTTAGCTACTTAAACAGAGCTGTCATCGTAGTCAAGAGACGAGAGCTGAGCTTTGACTCCTGGCTAGACAAAGGCATGTCATTTAGCCTACTAGCCGGCTAGCAAGTGCAAGGCTAGCGCCGTTAGCTAGCCTATGATCCAATCCTATGGGCAGCATTAGCAGCATTAGCATAGCCGGCTAACGTCAGGCTAAGCTTATAGCGGTACATGCTGGCTAGTTTTCCTAGCTGGCAATCCTTAAAAAATCAACATTTGTCAAGTTGTCGAGCCTCACATGTGAGACAGACGAAGACACGGAGCACTGTAACATATCAGAGCCGACAGGCAGCAGTTAGAGACCAGAGCGAGGACACATTAGTGCAGCTCTCCACTTACCTTCTGACTGAGTTGTTTACAAACACTTTCATGACTCCGCACCAACTGAGCCCACACACGCACACGCACACACGCACGCACGCACGCACGCACACAGGGATTAGACAATGTCGTCACAAACATGGCGGACTTGTGTGGTCCACGGGGCAGATGTCGGGTTAAGGTTTTATTTTAACTAGTTGTTTGGAGAAATCAGCAGATAGTGTAGCGCTAAGGGGGCGCGGTGTGCTTCTTTAATGTCCCTTTAGTCTCCGGCTGTCCACTGTTATCTGTCCACCGCTCATTTGACTCATCCTTGTCCACGGAGAGCTCCGAGTGGGCTGGAAGCTTCCACAAGCCGGAACAACACAAACAGCGAGGAGGTGAGAAAAATGAACGCAGTTTGATTAGAAGTTATTGTCCTAACATAGCCGGGACAAACGCGTGAAACGTATAATGCTTTTTCATTTAGTGCAATATTCATGTTTTAGATATAAAGTGGGTGAAATGCGTCAGTTGTTTGGCTACCGTTACCCGGTGGAGTAGGGGGCTTAGTTTTATCAGAGTTTATCCCAAATATGTAGCAAATGTTTGCCATGTTATCCATCTAACTGCGCAACAACACAGCAGTCTATCTAACTACCGGTTTATGAATTAGCTGAATTATAACATTTGCATGGAAGTCACACATTGATACAATACTAACTATGATGTCAGTAAGAATTATTTTGCTTCTCAGGTTCCTCAAGATGTCGCTGTGATGTTTTTAAATTGTAGAAATGAAATATAAGTTACAGGAACGTTATTACATGAGTTGTGGACGGTACTTATACAATACAGCGCTTTCTGTTCCACTACAATTACACGAGAGCTGTAATTAATTGTAATATTACACATTAAAACTGATAATCACCTCAAAATATGATGCATATTGGATACAGTATTTTAAATCAGCTTCATCTCAAACCAACTATTTTAAATTCTATTCAGAATACTTAGAATACTTATTCATCCCTCAAGATACCTCATTTACACACAAAAACCCTCATATGTATGTATATATATATATCTTCCTCCACCACTGAGTGAGGGTGTATATGCCAGTAGGTCAACTATTGTTTAATCTGTACATTTGTTGATTAGCCCAGTATAGCATTAAGGTTTCAGTCTAGAAATCATAAGAAATTACAAATGTCTATTTATATCTCTTACTAATTTAATCTGCCAAATCTATTTGTAAAAATTGTGGGGAAAAGTGGGATTTTGTGGTGGTTCAGTCAATTTGGAGTCAGTCTACTCTTACTGGGACCGACCGGGTTCGATATTCGACTAGAAAATGAACAAACCATAATAATACTTTCTCCTCCCATGAAAATGATGTGTGTGACTGTGTTTTGCCTGTAACAACCACATCGGACAGAGGTCATCGAGGTGGAAAGAAACAGGTTAAGTAAAGCTTGCTGCGTGTTTCACAATCAGCATTTCAATTAAAAGTGGCTCACTGCCCTTTGAGGCCTCCATCCAACAGAATGAACGATGACGAAGCCAAATGTGAAGCAACAGGCTCCAGCTGACATGCAGGAAAAAGTCTCATATAGGAATGCACGACAGAATGCTGCTTGACATGAATGACGCACAACAAGATTCAACTTGTTCAACATATGCAGCGGAGCACAAATAGTGGACACTATAGAAATAGGAACAGGTGTTACTTTGAGTAGTTAATTTTCAATATATATATATATATATATATATGTTTTTTGTTTTTCTCAGCAGAATAATATGCTGTACCACATGACTGATGAACAGTTCCGCAAACTGGAATTCACTTTACCACAGCTGTGCGCTCAGACATCAGCTCTCAATTTTTAAGTTTAAACAAAAAAAAAACTGAGCCAACAAAGCAACGGGAGTCACAAGAGACAACATTAGTCTTCATCTCCGGGAACACAATGGACCTTTTTGGAGATTCAGTGCCCTTATGAATTACCAATCAACCAAATAGAGGCCAACTTTGCATAGCTTTGCATAGAGGATGAAGAAAGTATTTTTCACATCTATGTTGAATTCTGATAATGATTTGGGAAATACCCTTTAATCTGTCTGATACTTGTGTAATGTTGTCTTACTTACAGTATTTAATCAGAAAGTTAATAGAATATTAAAATGTTAAGTTTCTCCAAAATGTAACATTGGTTTAACCTTTGCTCACACAATCAACCTCTGTGTGACAAGGATGTCACGTGTTAAAAATACTCCACTGTGCACTTTAAAAAAAAGAATTCACAGAACAGCCAAATACATCTTTGTTTCAGTTCTGCTTTTTTTCTTGAGAGAATGGGTCTTTTGAAAACATTTTGTGATACATGATCACTGCAGCTGAATCACATGCCTGCTGCTTAAAACATAAAGACAAATACATATTATTTTAAAAGGTTTATGACCAGATATTACAGGTTTAATATAAAAGACATTCCCTTACATACATAATACTTAACACAGGTGTCAGTATACAGTAGCTTGTTGCCGAGTTAACTTCAGGGTTTCTGAAGTGGTCTCAGTTACTGTGGACATGGAGAACTCTATTGTTGTGCCAATCAGCAAGTTTCAGTAGCATCCAGCAACATCTGGGCTTCAGCTGAGTCACTACCGTTGTTGCTTTGTTATAGGGGATGGAGGTAGACTGCCAGCCCGAGGAATCCATCGTCTCCTCATTTGACGAGGACTGCGTTGTGCTTGGTGACGTCAAGGACATGAGAATGGAGGCAGAAGCAGTCGTCAATGACGTACTTTTTGCTGTCGCCGAAATGCACGTGTCTCAAAGTCTGGACAGTGCGTCAGATATGGCCTACATAAACGTGGAAACAAGAGAGGGAAACCGGTATTGTCTGGAGCTCACAGAGGCAGGACTACGGGTAAGACACATTGGTTTCTTGTTTTATTATTTGTGTTTCAGACACCAAACCAGGCTAAGTTTGACAATCTCTCACTCTACCAAACAGGTGGTGGGCTATGCCTTCAATCAAGTGGACGAGGATTTGGGCACCCAGTATCATGAAACAGTTTACTCGCTTCTGGACAAGCTCAGTCCGGGTTACAGAGAAGCCTTTGGGAATGCTTTGCTGCAGCGGCTGGAGAGACTGAAGCAAAACGGACAATAAAAAACCGGACCAAGATGCTGCACACGTTGTTAAAGTGGAATAGAGGTTGATGATGTGGGTGTATGTGGATATGAGCCAATAATAAACTGGTCAAGTCTGGTCAAATATTATAGCCTATTATGTGACGTCCACCTGCCTAGCTACCACTACAATAAGGGGTACTCTGCCATATCAACCTTGCTTTGTTCTGACTTTCATATCATTGGATGACTTCATGTTAGTTACTTAAGTTTAGTGACTGCTATGGTTTGGCTCTGTCGCAACAATCGTGTTGTTGACTTTACTGTGGAAAGATCTTCCAGCTTTTGCATGTTACAAATTTGTAACTGTGCACATTGTTTGAGAATTCTGCACCTTTTGTATTCATCAAAGTGATCTGAGAAAGAAGCAGCAAGTTATGTGAATTATTGATCCAGTTTGCCCCTCTGCCTTCCTTACACTAAAGCTGTGACCTGATAACTGATCAAATATACCCAACTAGTTCTTATTCAGCAGGTGTCTCAGTGATAGAGCCAAAGCTATATTCTTTGTGTAACTCATATATACTGCCTTAACGACTGACTTTTGGTTAGAGTACAAAGTACAAAAAAAAAACATCTCATTACATAGTTTTACTTATTTTGTATTGACAGAGGGTATTCTGTAGAAGTGTCATTTCAAATAGTAAACAATTCAAACTAATTTCAAATTTCTTGTCAAACTAAGCCAGCTCTGCATTCAATACTAATTATCAAGTTTATTGTGTTGTGATTTTCTTTCTCCATACAGCACAGTGCAACTCAAGCTTGCATTTCTAACATTTGCTGTAAAAGTAAAGCCATCTTTGTGGAGGTTTAAATATGTTCTAAATCTTTTTGTTGTGGTCATGTCTTCACAATTTTGGTTAATTTTATCAGAATACATAGCGTTTCTTGGACTTCAGAAGCTGCTTTTAAATGCTGTTGTACATTTGGCCTGGTTATAAGCCTACTTCAGTGTTATGAAACCTACTTTATGAAAACCTGTCCCTTTGCATTCATACTGTTGTTCCTCGCTGCAGGCCTTTGCGCAGACCAATAAATTCTCAGAATTGTGTCAAGTCTTCAGGTTTACTTCATGTTTACCAAGCTACAAATGTCTGACAAGACAAGTACACAAGTCCAAGGTGAAAGGTTTTGAAGCTGATGTTCAGTCATGTTTAGTCCAGTAAGGTTAACTTTCTTTGATACAAGGAAGTTTTCCCCACTGCTGCTCAGCCAGTGACTGCAACATCTAGTGCTGCTTCTGGGGGAAATCAACTAAAGTGTGCCTTAACATGTGTCTGACAAGTACATATGGTAAGTTGAAAATTTCCCAAGGTACTTTTAGCATAAATATTTCTAAAATGAAAATGGTTGACGAGATTATGCAACTTGAGTAAGTTAGATTTTTATTAGAATTTAATTTTCATATTTCAATTCCACTCATCTTACAGTAGTACATGTCAGTAACAAATATTACAAAAGTTTGTAAAGCAATAGGTATAGTACGTGCCTTTCAGACTACACAGCAGCCAGTAAGACAATCCATTTGTTCTGTAGTGGAATGTAGTTCAGGGTCATTCACACAAACATTAACCGCATTATTCCACAACTCTTCAAATTGACTGTTACGAAGATCTTAGCAAACATTTATTTCAGAAGGATTCAAGGTGTGTGCGCGGCAAAGTCTTGCAAAACCACAGAAAGAGACATTCATCTTAAAATCAATTTGATGAAAGAATAAAATGAGAACTTAACTAGAGCCATTTACATTCTTTAGGTTTTTACTCAAAGCTGAATCCCTTTAAAAATACAACACTTGTCAGAGGTACTGTTGCTAGTTTAGCTCACAATTTGAACTGGGAACCTAATGCAGAACAAGTCTTGCTTGTTGTCGTCTCTCAGTTCCCACTCCACGACCAGCTTTATCTAGAAATGCAGAAGAGTGGTTAGTGACCAAGGTGATCTTTGTATCTCTTACATTTAACAAACAACAAAAAAACAACCTCATTTGAGGAAGTGAACTATAGTTACAAGGGGAAAACAAAACCACAGAAACAAAACTACTGATTAAATATTTGGGGACATGCAGCACTTACATTAGTAATTTGGTTACATTTAAAGAAAGTCAAGTAGGTTTGTTACTTACTGCGGGATACTCAGTCTTCACAGGGAGAGCGTTCACATAATGATACTTCTGCTGCTTCTGGATGGGACACTGTATTCCAGACTTGCAGCCGTCTTCTATTGGAATGGGGAAAGGGATGGGAACGCCAGCAATAACGCCGTGAACCACTGCCGTGCTTGTCTGGCTCTCCACAGCTACAACAGATAACATGACGGTGAGATCAGCAGTTTAAAAATCAGATGTTACATTCCCACTGTTCAGAGTGTTTGTGAAAGATAACAGCCCTCCTTACCGCTGCTGAAAGTCACATTGACACTGTAGGACTCCCCTTTGTGTAGCTGGCATGGCTGACTGGCACAAGGGTGAATGTCCACCATGGCCACTTTGCCAGTAGAGGAGCCTGAAGAGAAACATGGGGGGGATAATGTCTTTAAAAAAAATAAAATCATACCATACCTTCATAACACAAATCCCAATACTTCTGTTTATTAAAGTCACTTAAAATGATAAAAATAAACCTTCTAGAATCTGGAATTGACCAAAACATCAATACAACTGGCTGCTAATGAGTCTCTTCTGTGGCTTTCAAGTAAAAAAAAAAAAACAACCCTGATATTGTCTAATCAAAGACAGTGGGTTGCATTATGGGAAATGTAGGATGCAGTATTTTTGGAGATTGACCCAAAACTAGTGACTAATGGTCAGTACATCCTGGACTGCAGCTTCAGCTTTGACTACTTGGTTTTTGTTTTTTCTTTTAGAAGAAATCTCAGTCTAAACCCCCTCAACTTTATACTGCTTATTGACTTATTCTTGAGTGTTATTTCTGATCACTCCAGAAGCTCCTTAGCAAACACTGATAACCCACCAAGAGCAGCACATGGAGTTAATGTAAAGGTGCATTTGTTAAGGACAGGTGATGCGGGAAATAAAAGTGCCATTTAGTGGTGAGATAGTGTAGACCATTAACGTGTAAAAAAAAAAAACCCAAACATTTACAACTTCCTACTCATCAAATTACGGCTTTTTTCTGTTTTATATAACTGAATATTTGGAGATTTATGCGCTATTGTTCAGGCCAAACAAACAATTCATTTGCTTGTTTTGTGAAACTGACGGTGACTTGACATTTTTCTCCACTCCCCTTTGAGATTCAGTTACTGTGTGTTTACCTCTACAAGTCAGCAAAATAAAACGGTGTGTCTGTTTAACATAGAATAGTGAAGCAAGTCTCAGTTTCAAGTGAAACTTACCGCAGTCTATGAATTTCACCGGCTCCGCACAGGTGAATCCCATCAGGCAGAACAAAACGATGAAACCGGTCCGGACGTCCATGATTCGATCTCTGTGTGACCCTAAAAACGAGGAAACATCCATTACGCAGCTGATAATAGAAACTTTATGGGACTATAGTCTGACTTCCGAGCGGTCAGCAGAAACTGTTAAATCATAAGACTTCTTGTTTGTTTGTTTGTTTGTTTCCCCAACGCCCCGAGGATGGCAGTGATTACAAAGTTCAACACAACAAAGAACAACAGCCTTCGACTGCCTCGTACTATGGTAAACAACACAAACACAGGTAGTCTTGTAGAAGTAGGAAAACCTCTAAATGAACATACCGTACTGTATCTTCCGTCAAGCCCCGAAGTGAGTGAGACTACTGCTGGCACCTTTTTATTTCCTTGTATCACGAGATCGACGTTAACGCCCATTTATAAGCACAATTTAGGGGGGTTTTTTTGCCCGAAATTTTGCCTTCCAGCAAATCCCGCCCTGAGTGTAAAAAACCTTGCCTCCTGCGCTGTAATTGGCAGATCAAAACCTCATCAGAAAACAAACCCTGGTCATCTGTGAGTTAAACCTCAATGTAAACATTTGATTGGTGGATGTTATTGGAAGCGGAACACACAAAAAAAAAATATCGTGAACCTGACAGGCAAAACCAAGGTATTAAACTCCTCTTTACATCCAGGGCAACGTAGAACTCCATCAAGATTGACAGGTAAACGGACGAATCAAACGGCCGTATTCTACCAACCTGGTATGCGTATTTGACGACCGTTTTAGCCAATCAGGGTGCGTTCTGTCTCTCGTCGACGTTCGGGGGGCGGGACCTACTAACATTTGTTTTGAAAGATGTCATTGGTGAGAGGAGCGATGATAACTGCGTCCAAGTCCAAAGTATTGAGCCTTGCCAGGTAATTTTAATTCGCTGTGTATCATTTGAGATCTCCCCGATACAAACCGTCACCTGTAAACAATCTCTAGTGGAAAAAAACTAGCTGTGCGTTGAGTTTGTTCGCCGGGAAGCTAGTTAGTTAGCAACCTAGCCGTCAACGCCACCGTTAGGTAACGTTAACGTGACGTTAGCGAGCAGCAGGGGCAGTAAAAGTCCACTTTCACACAGATCGGATCTTAACATAACGTCAATGTTTTGCAGGGCATCTACTGTTCTGAATAACATCAGTGTGAGCCAGCAGTTACACCGGGTTCCTCATATCCCTCTACCCCGGTACACAGCGGGGCTTCGGGGCTTCAGCAGCGCCACAGCCCGGGAGGAGGCAGCGGTGTCAGGTCCGTCTGAAGATAAAGTGTACCTCACGGAGTCATGCGTGAAGGTCAGCAGCGGTTTAAGCATTTTTTGGAAAGCCATACACACGAAGCTGCTTTACCTTTGTGTCTATATTCTTGGTATGGTGTTGATATTTGTGTAAAACCTGCAAACGTGTCGTAAAGTCCCTCATGTGAGCCAGTGTTGACAGTGGAGCAGCTGCATTATCATCATGTCATGTTCAAGCTCAACCCATGCTTTGCACCCTCATTCACAATGCTCATGTCCCCCTTTTAATCCAGAGACTAGGGGAAATCATGGAGAAGGGCGAGTACCTCAGAATACATGTGGAAGGAGGAGGCTGCTCCGGGTTCCAGTACAAGTTTTCTGTTGTTGGAAACAAGACTGAAGAAGACAGGTAAGCTGCCAATAAGTTATTGTTTTACACTGGCCTCACTGTTTTTTCTGATGTCTATTAATCTAATCTAATCTAATCCACTCTGCTTTTAGAGTGTTTGAGCAGGGAGGAGTGGGCATCATCGTGGATCAGGACAGCCTGGAGTTTGTGAAAGGAGCCACTGTGGACTTCACCCAGGAGCTGATCCGCTCCACCTTCCTAGTGTTGAAGAATCCCCAAGCCGATCATGGCTGCTCCTGTGGCAGCTCCTTCTCTGTCAAACTATGAGCCCCTCTGTGTCAGTATTAGTTATTACCCTGATTTACCAGTTTATTAGAATATAAGAATACAATCTTAATACATAAAATAACGATTACCATAAAATCTCTGACCAAAAAATATATTATAAGCTTCACAAAGATATAATTAATTGCAGGGTTGTTATATGCTTTGACGGTGTACCTAATGAACTGGTAACTCAGGGTATTATATTGTATTGGACACCAATATTTCACTAATAACACAGCTAGTGACACAGTGACAATGTTAGATAATCTTTTCCCCTGAGAAATGTGTTGTTGTTTTTTTAGGTGTCAAACTACTTAAACAGAAAGGAAAGGTATCAATTAATCATTGCATTATTTTGCATATAGTGAGTCAGGAAAGCTCATTGACAGCTGAGTTCATCAACTGTAATTTGACATTAATTCAAACAAAGCAAAGGTGTGCAGTGCTTAGATTTACCTTTGTGTGTAAAATATGTAAATAGACTATATCTATGAAGAGCTAAGCTTTATTATATTTGTGTAATCTGAAATAAAATGGAGTGAATTTCAGATGTTTATTTCTTCAGTCATTTCAATGTATTGTATGCAAATTAGTGTTGTGATGCAAGTGAGGTTGATTTTATTTAGCTAATTGTACTCACATTATGCACTTCATTACATTATAATGATGAAAAGCCCAGGCAGGAAATGTTTATATTTATTGATAAAAGGTTAGTTTGAACACTGATTGTTTCATTACAAGTGTTATTTTTTATGAATTGGTCATGTTATCGCTCTCAGTGAATACATCTCACTCAAAGTTTACAACTCAGGTTCATGGTTGCCTTTTTTTTTTATTAAAGTGGAATTTAAGAAACATCTCACAAAAAATATACAAAAAGAATATGTACAAATGATATTTACACTGGTATAATGTAAATCAAAATATGCAGCAACATTTTTTGTAGTTAGTCTGTAGTTAGGAGCAAAAGATTTTGCACTTTTCATATTTTCTCTCTGTTAAAACATTCCATTTAAGCAATATATCTGATTACACAAAACATTAACTTACTGTTGAAAAAAGTCCCACCATTCATATTCAGGAAAATGCGACAATAATACATCATAGCAGCTCACTGAAAAGTGACTGAAAGAATTGCAACAGTGCATTGAAACATCAATTTACAGCTGTTCTTTTTGTTTTCTGAGGAATTTGGTTTGGACAGATTGTCTTCCAGTAAGCCATGCACACCTACTAACCACAAACAAATCCTCAAACAAGTATGCACACGTTTACATGTCATGAGGGGAACACTGCCGAGGGGGTTTGAGGTCAACCAGTCAACAACACAACCACATAAACCATAAATGAACCATCAGGGTAACACAGTGACCAGGTCAGGTGAACAGTGCATAGTATGCTTTGGCATGCTGACATCCAGAACATAACAGTGGATGTTACATTCAGGAGGAAGGCCACAGGATTTGGAATTACCAGTAAAAATAGAACAAATGACTACATGATCCAAAAAGTAAAACCAACATAATACAAAAAGAATCCAAACCCTCATTAAGTTGAACACTCAGATTAAGGCTAATTCAGTTTGCTACATGTTTTAAAAAATGGCATTTTCAGTAACACAGTTTCATACGTCTGCCAAGTGGGAAAACTGCCATTTAGGACATGTACACAGACACGCTCATTCTTAAAAAAATAATCCCTCACTGAAATGATATGCACATACTGTATTATAGAGATGTGTTGTTTTTCTTCGATGACGATGTGATGTTGTGAGAGCAGGGCTGTACTCCCTCCACCTGTGTTCACAATCAGGACTAATGCTGTGATGAAAGTGAGCCTTGCACAAATGCATGCACCTAGATTTGAGGCAGTAAGTCCGATCAGATCAGTCACCACTTTGACTCATTTACAAGCTGCCAGGTCTTCCTCCTCCTCCTCCTCCTCCTCCTCCTTCCCTTCTTCATTTAAATGCATCCTTTAGTAGAATCTTTTCTCTCCGGGGAGCCTTAATGGGAGATGCCCAGACTTTCTGAGGCAGGATGGTCCAGGTTTGGTCCTCAGTGTGGGGCATGGACACACCTCCACACAAACAGGCTAGAGAGGACGTAGAGGAGAGGATGCATTATTTAATATTTGACTGTCGTATCATTAGTAAACTATGTTGTTATTTGGAGCCTCAGTCATACCTTCTGTCATCTCCACCAGCACTAACGACGAAGCGGTCTCCATTTGTGAAGCGTACATTAGTCAAGTGAGCGGAATGACCCAGAAAGCGTTTGTGTTTGGCCTAAAACAGATCACATACACATCATCAAGTGGCATTTTTTTTAAACAATAGTCAGCAGATTTATCTATCAAGTGGCATTGTTGTGCCCAGAAACAGTTGCAGTTAAAACATCACATAAAGTCAGTTAAGTCAATATGTAGTCATCTCATGCAGAACTGGTGGTGGAAATTAACTAAGTACATTTACTCAAGTACTGTACTTAAGTCAGTAGAGTATTTCCATTTTATGCTCCTTAATACATCTTTATCACTACAATTCAGAGGGAAATATAGTTTTTTTTTTTACCATTAGTTACTGGTTAATTTACAGATTTAGATTAGTAATACAAAATATAATCAACAAATAAACTGTTAAGCATTATTATGGATAAAGATAAGACTTGATTGCTCCCTTGGTGAAATTCGCGACCTACCAGCAGTATATAAAGTGAAAAATAATCCCCACCTTTACCAGCTGCAACATTAAGTATTGAACATATTAATACATTAATAATTATAAATAAACAACATAATATATATTATTCTGAAATGGGCCATTATTCATTATACATGTATTATGTATTAATTATTGTATAAACTTTAAGTATATTTTGATGCTAATACTTCTTTACATTTACTGAAGTAAAATGCAGGACCTTTATTTGTAAAAGAGTATTTCTACACTGTGGTGAGTACTTCTTCCACCTCCATGCACAACCCCATTATTTCATCTCCATCACACAATTTTGGTAAAACTATTTTCTCAGAAATAATAGCCACAAGTTAAATTTTTTTTATTATTTTGTAACACATATATAACAAATAATAATAATAATAACATAATTCAAAGCTACTATGTGAATATTTTGTAAGTGATTGTATAAGCCATCAAAATATTATAATGGCATATGTTTGTGTTTGCTGAAAATGAGATAAATTAGTGTTTGTTTTTTTAAAAGACCACTAGTGGGCATCAAAGTCAGGAATTTTCAAATTCTACACACAGTGTAGGTAAAGAGAAAAATGACAAATTAAAACTATTATCATCAGAAAAAACAGCGATAGTGTCAATAATTCTGACATAATAAATCACAAACACAATAACAAACAGTACTAATAATATTATGCAATCATACTTACGAACTTCTCTGGACTTGGAAAGTCAAACAGCTTTACCATGCCAAAGTCATCGCCTGTGACAATGTTAAGGCCTGAGTGGGACACACAGGCACAGGTGACGTCTGCTTTGTCAGTGTTGCGGGACCAGATCCCTACAACCTCGTCCCCAAGGACACTGGATACAGAGAGAGAGCAGTTACATTGTTACTTTCAGCTGCTGTTACCTTTCATACGTATCATACGTGTGCCAGTCTAAACACTGAGACTCTCACCTTGTCCAGGTGGCCCAGGTAATTCTGTCAATATGAGTCTGCTCCGAGACCTGCTTCCCAGACGGCACCTCGTACACGAGTCGTTTATAAGCACCTGTGGATATCTGTTTCAAGGCATTAGAGGTTAGGGATCACACAGGCAGCCAGGGTCTGAGACAAACATGCCCTCTCACTGCTAAATTAGTGAACCTTCTCACAGTTTATACCTGGACGTAAGCGCTGTCAGCGGAAAAGTCCATCTGCATCACAAAGCTGGGGATGTCCCTGCAGCAGTTGATGCGGTTCAGCTGTGGGCCGAGTGTCAGGTCGTAGAAGTCAACTGCACTCTCAGTAGAGCCTACGGCCAAGTAACGTGCGTTTGGACTGAACCTGTAAGAGAGACACGCAGTGTCACAAAAGTGTTCTGTCAGATTTATTATGTAGTGTTGACCCATTTCAGTCTCCAAAGACAAATCTGATATGTTTAAACTGATTATTCATTATCTTTCAGTCTAAAAATTGAAATACAAATTAATGACAATACATTTAAATTTATTTAAAATTGGGCTGATTTATGGACCCCAGCATGCTTCATCCACAGCTTCCCTGAAGGACCCACCTTTTACAAACAGGAAATCTCTTATATTGTTGGAAACACACTCCAATCAAGGCAAGAACCTGCCATATACCACTTTCCCCCATATTTCACTGAGCCCACTCTACCATACTCTATTATCATTACCTAATATCCTGGATAGGAGAGCGCCGATCCCTTTTCTTGCCCCAGATCTTGAGCGAGTTAACTAGCAGGATGATGAACTCTCCATTCTTCATGCCGATGGCCACCATGTCTCCTTCAGGACTGTAGCTGATGGTACGTGCCGGGTGGCCCAGGTTCACCTTATTCAGCATCTTCTGTTTCCCCCACAAGGCCATGCAAGATCAGCACATACTTGTTATTAACGCAGCATGTGTGACAATCCCACGACTATTCATGTATGCAGAAATGGTAATCTTGTGACTGAGGAAAACCATGTTAATGTCCCTTGATAAAAGCTACAGTGAACATCTTGATAGAAATATAGAAGTACTGTTGAGAGAGTTAGAGATAGGTAGACTTCTGGTTTTGAGGGGTTGGAGGTAACATGGCTGACCTTCTCTGGGATGTCCCACAGACGAACAGTGCCATCCTCTGCCGCAGACAGGAACACGTCTCTGGAGGGATGGGTCCCCAAGCCCCAGATAGGTCCGTCCATGTGTCCGTTCACCAAAATGTTGCACGCTGCATTCTTCTCTCCAACCTCGATGATCTCTGCATTCCTGGTCCCCACAAGGATTTTACCCTGACAGAGCAGCGAGACAAATGTGTCAAAATACGGACGAGATGAGGAGAATCAGATGGATCATTTGATTGAGTGCAATATTATCTGTAACCAACCTTTCCTCTGCATACGGAGCGAACGCAGTCTATGATCTGTCCAGTTTCTAATCGAAACGCCCTGCAGCGTTTCAGCTCTTGGTCCCACAGCTTCAGAGCACCTCCCTCTTTAGACCTGTGGAGGAAATTATTAAGTGTGTTTCATCCCTCAGCTGTATATATATGTATACATATCCTTCTCTTATGTATTGTAGTCTTATTAGTATTACAAGCATTTGAATAAGCACATACTTGCAAATAGGGTAAATAGGTAAAACTAAATCATCATAGAAAACTAATCAAAAGCTGTGCTACATAGTGTGAGCTTACTGATGTATAATATAGTGTAGAAATGTTACAGAGCAGCACTTACGGTCTTTCCTTGCCCCCGGTGACGATGAGGCCGTCTCTCAGTGTGGTGTACATGGTAAACACAGGGCCCGTATGAGCTTTAGCCACAATTCTTACTAGAATGTGTTCCTTCCAAACACACACA